GAGACCGTATATTACGCGAACAACTATTGCCAGGATATGATTTCAAGTGAGTAAGAGAAACTTTTTCCATTGAAAACCTGTATTTTTGGATCTAAAGCCCTTGCAGCCAACTTTTGTTTCTGTAACTTTTCATAAGGTAACCTTCATAAGGTTTGACGGCAAACGCTTTCTGGATTTTTTGTGGCTGAATAAATGTTCCCATACACCACCTTGAAAGCACCTTTTTGAGTAGTCAATAGGTAATCAAAAAACAATAATAATGACCAATATCTTGCTGCCTGGGTTACTGTTCAGCTTTTGGTATCGTTCAAGCGAACAAGTAAAGCTTGAGCGGCATAGACTCGCAATCTAGCGGTAGCTGTCGGTCTCAAACTACTCAGAGGGTTTAAAACTTGAAATCTGAGATCTCATCTACTCTTATTGTAATATAGTCTGTAGTACAATGTGATCGTCGCTAGTAAAGCTTTAGGAAACATACCTGTGCTCGAATCCGAGAAAACTTTCGAAATTTTCATGTTTGTAAGATCGACAGTCTTCCTGGCTGACGACAGTTCCCAGCGGGTGACTGGAAATAGCCCAAAATGGGAAATTTGGGTAAAGGGGAAACCGAGAGCGGTTGGTGTGCGCCTGTTTTCTTCCTCTCTCACAATGATTCTCGTGGAGCACACGAACAATGCGTTGTACGGTGCAATGACCTGTACAAATTTCGGTGGGCACCGGGTGAGACGGCTTGGATCGGAGTAATTTTCCAAATGTTATAGTAACTTCCTGAGTGTTACAGGAAATAATACGGTAGAAGAATACATTAAAGATAACGTGTTGGACCGCCAATCAATGCTATCCTAGGGATGCGCCACGTATTCGGCATTCATTCGTACTGCGTTGTACGGTGTCATTGTATAGGCCACATACATATTTAATATGTATGTGGCCTATACAATGACGAGAAGTGGCCAGTCCGATGTAAAGTCAGTGCTTTTATCCTCTCAGGCAAGGTGGCACCAATTCACCGGCCCCGAAGGGGTGAAAGGCTTTGTTGGCTTGGGCGGGTATAGATTCGGAACTCTGACCTAACCGTGCGTGTGATATAGTGCACTACGTGCTACTACACCACCTCTGCCCAAAGAATACATAATTCGTTCCGAATCATCAATTTTTCAGTTTCACTGTGCTATTTGATCAGTGCGATGAAAAGCTCGCTGCCGGTACTACCATCAGGATGATTCGTGATCTGAATGTGGACGCCATTATCGGACCGACATGCAGTTTCCGTGCGTTTTCACCATCCAAAGAAATTATAAATATTTATATATCTATCTCCAAAATTCATGCTGACGGTCTGTGGTAAGACCGATTATCACCACCTCTGTTTTGTTCCACAGATTTGCTGCCCGAAAGTCAGTGTTTATTCATCAGGACACTCACAATATGTTCAAGAAAGGAAGACAGAATTACTTCAGACGAATTTTTAAATTTTTCAAAAGCTGAACAGATTAAAAGTGACCCACAGAGCACAAATTAATTAAGGGTTAGTGCATCTCGCTACCTTCAATGCAATTCTCCCAATCACTACAGCTGATAAATTAATCGGGAAGTTTGAGTTCACTTTTTGAAAAGCGTCATGTAATGGAGTGAATAAGCTGTCCTACTGACAGCTTCGCTTGAAAGCGGTAAGGATGATGGAGCGGGAGGCCGCATCTTTCTCTGAAAAATTATTTTCCTGAAGGAGGCTCATTGTCACGTCTGAGTCAAATAAATCAGACAAAAAAACACCCAACCGAGTGGCCTATTGCTCCCATATAGATACCAGTTGGTTCGCCCTGCTAACGTCAGGCATTTTTTTAAACAAAAAAACCAGGTTGAAAAACCTTTTCGAAACAAATAATGGTCTGCGGTACACGGAAATTGACAGGGGACTAACACGGCAGGGCAACTGGTATTCAGTGAAAGTCAGTGCTCACGCCTTTGATTGGAAGTTTCGATCATCTGGTCCCTTTCTTAAAAAGAAATACCCATCAAAAATTCAACTGTTAGACAAGAGAAAAAGAAACATAGCACCCTTATCATCCATGGACCCTTTTCTCCACGAAGCTATCATTAGTTGAGAATTCCAGATTGCAGTTGAAGTCCAGGTCGAATTAGTTTTGTCGCAAATGACATCGACCAAAGAGGACTCTTCATTGAATCACAAACCTTGCTGGGTAGCGGTCGTAATCTGATAGCAAGAAATGAACGAAATTCTCATCTGCTCATCGTATCTAATGGCTAATGGGCCCCTATCACTACACCTACCACTCACTTTTGTCACCCTGCTCTACCACCCCGTCTTATCGAATGAAACATACTGAATGATCAAAGCTATATCGTAAATATCGAAGACGTTAGGATTTTGGTCGATGGGTGACCTCTCTGAGGTCCCTTATCTTCTCTTATCAATCATGATCAGTTCTTGTCTCTGACAACCTACGACACCGTCATATCCTGCATCACTAATTAAAATGCTGAGGTTCCACTGTTAATACGACAAGTGTAATCCTACTGAATTTTAACGCTCTGGGTCCACGTAGACAGGAGTTATGAGTTTCCGGTCAGACACACACACAAATAGACACACATTCATACATACACACATAAACACACCGACAAACCAACAGACACACTCAGCGAATTATAGCTAGTTAGATATTAGTTCTTTACCTTGAGAACATAAACTTGCCATCATGTTATTACAGCTACGAAGTTTTTTATGGAGAAATCCTTAGTTTCATAAAATCAAAGTACGGCCTTCATTTATCATGCGCTATTGAAATAACTAATTTTCAGCAGCTATCTCTGCAGGCGTGATCTCTGGCTTCTACAACATCCCAATTTTTACTTGGGGTTTGAGCACGGCTTCTACTTTAAGCAATGTGGAGAGATTCCCAACAACGATAATCATGTCGGTGAACTCTTTCAGGTAAAACGCTTCATTTTTGTCCAGTTCTTTACGAGTGTGCCCTCAGAAACTGTTGTGAGAACTTGGTTTCAATTGAATTTCATTAAATCACTCGATTTGATTCTATAATGGAATGAAACGTTTTTCCACGGTCCTGGATCTCTCAGTAATTTACTTACCTTGAAGCTCAGCTTTTTTTTGTTCAATAACCTTCAGAGCTTCAGGAGCGGCTGTTTGAGAAAGTGCATTTTAAAAGTTTTTACATAGGCTCGTTCAGTTGCTTCTCCCGGGCTTGGATAGACATCGGTCCCCAACACGACGTCCTGCTTCCTCCTCACCTAAACCTATGTGGGAATTAGTAATTGAGCAGTGATTGCAATTGTATGGAGTAGAACACATCACCACCAGATTCATCAGAGAAATTAGAATGAACCCTTAAAAGGACAAAGGACTGACGATATCCTGTTACAGCCTTGGGATAGCAATCCGGTCGTTGATGTTATCCTTTGGATGGAAACAATTTGCTTTCATCTATTCGCTTCTGGGTGACTTGGAGACATGTGATGTTACAAGGACGGATGTACAGGTTATCCTTTTTCTTATTTTGTGCACTTTTTAGTTTTCTTACTTTCTTCCTTGCTTCTGACTGCATTCCTTCGAGCGTATTCGGAAGATAGTCGAGGAATTTTTCCCTAAGCAGAAACTTGACACTAATAATAGCTCTTTTATGATCAATTCTAACAAAAACGGGTACCTTTGAAAGGATAGGATGGGCCACGAATGTATTCCGGTATTCTAAATGCCTTTCACACCTAGTTTCGACATTTGACTAGTTGTCTTGCCGGCACAATCACCCCC